ATTTACTAGAGAGCCACAGAGAGATGCCATCCGCTGATTCACTCTTCAAATGCCTGCAATGGCCAGAGCATGACTGAGGCTGAAACCAGGAACCAGGAATTCAAACCAGGTCTCCCACATGAGTGGAAGGGACTCAAGTACTTAAGCCATTATCTGCTGCCTCCCAGGGTGCACATTATGAGGAAGCTGGAATTGTACATGGAGATGGGATTGAACCCAGGCACTCTGCCATGGGAAGGTTCCAAGTGGCACCTTAAATGCTAAGCCTAAACACCCAGCCACCTCAGGATTTCATTTCTTAATAAGATATATGGTGTAAAGAAAAGAAAGATTTCAAGAGTTCAAAAGACAAATAACTATTATATTCAGGAGCTCTCCTCTCACAAGATCTAGTGCTATCAATTTTAGAATAATTTTTTATTTAGAAAATACTTCTTAGAAGGGGCTATCAAAGGAGTAGGTATCTTTCTCTGAAGAGAGGAGAGAACTTCCACTTTGCTTATGGCCCTATCTAAATAATGACAGAATCTGTGGACTCAAAAGGCTTCCATAGCCTTGGCAGCTCATGACAAGAGCCTCGGGTGATCACTGATGTCATAAATAAGAGTGTGAATCGTTAAATCAACAACAGGAGTCATTATGCACTTTCTCCCCATGTAGGACCTCTGTCCTTTATGAGTTGTACTATGAGAATTAACAGTAAAACTATTTTTCAAACAGTACTTTATACTTTGTGTGTCTGTGTGGGTGCAAAGTGTTAAAATCTTTACTTAGTATATACTAAGTAGATCTTTGGTATATAAAGATAAATGAAAATGAATTTTGATGAAGAATGGGATGGGAGAGGGAATGGGAGATGGGATGGTTGAGGGTGGGAGGGAGGTTATGGGGGGAAAAGCCACTATAATCCAAAAGTTGGGGCTGGCGCTGTGGCACAGCGGGTTAACGCCCTGGCCTGAAGTGCTGGCATCCCATATGGGTGACAGTTCTAGTCCCGGCTGCTCCTTTTCCCATCCAGCTCTCTGCTGTGGCCTGGGATAGCAGCGGAAGATGGTCCAAGTCCTTGGGTCCATGTACCTGCGTGCAAGACCTGGAAGAAGCTCCTGGCTCCTGGCTTTGGATCAGTACAGCTCGAGCCGTTGCGGCCATCTAGGGAGCGAACCAATGGATGGAAGATCTCTTTCTCTGTCTCTACCTCTCTCTGTAACTCTGTCTTTCAAATAAAGAAAATAAATCTTAAAAAAACCCTAAAGTTGTACTTTGGAAATTTATGTTTATTAAATAAAAGCTTTCTAAAAAAGGCAGGAAGAAAGAAGGAAAGAAAGAAAGAGACTTCTTTCGACTTCTTTGGGTTGGTGATGCAGATTGGTGATGCAAGTTCCAGATACTTCCCCATGGAAATGCGATACCTCTTTACCTTTGATGTCCAGAAGCCCAGGTAAGTGATGCTACTGCTTCATGCCCTACACTTTCCCATGTGTTACCAGCAGCATGTGGGCTGTACAAGGTGTCTGGCGGGTAACAAATCTTCCCAGTCAGATGAATCAATTAATTCACAAGCTTTTATTGGAATTCCGCTCCCCGGCGAGGTTCACCGGTCCCAACAGAGCGGGGGCCGGGAAAGTCGCGCGTCAGAGGTTGGGAGGGCTCCTTTTATAGATACAGGGCGGGCATGGGGGTTAAAGATTGAGGCTGGTCTGATCCTCATTGGTTGACCTTTAGGCACCCTCGGGGACTTTGACAAGGACTTTTCGTTCCTGGAAGTGCAATTAGGGACTCTCCATTCCTGGACGTGTAGGCCTTATCTCCTTGTGGATCCCAGAGCTACCACGCTGCAAAAGTATTGTGTCTATGGGATGCTCCAACACAAAGAAAGCTGGTTTGTATCCAGCTAATTAGAATGGGCTCCCTCTGCTGGCTAATGAAGATGCCAGGAGCCTACAAAGAAGACCATATAGCTGTGACTCCTTAATAAGGAATTTTTCATGAGAATGAGGCAAATACAAACTCATCAAAAGCATCAAGACCTGTGAAGAGTCTGGACTCCTTTATCTCTTCATAAGCTAATGGGTTAGCAGGTTCTGGATGCTGGCAGAAGACATGAGACCCCGGGATCAGAGGTACAGACTTGGTTAGTTAAAGCAGGGCACACAGTGAGAACATCAGCATGCATATGCCAGTTTCCCTTGCCCCCAAGTCCCATCATGATGGGTCCCAGATGGATATTTAACATAAAGTGAGTTGTGTCACATCCAAGAAATACCAAGTTTGGGGAGCCCTCCACTCTTGCAGCGAGCAGTAAGCACACCTACTCTGACCTGGAGTGAGATCTTACCCCCATCCCTTCAGGTCCCTTATTACCAACATGACTGCTAGGGTTTAAACAGTATTTAACTCCTCAAACTCACACAAACGTTTAAACGCCAACATCTTATGTTAAAGACTAATGATTGACTGATTAGGGTGGAGCATTCATTTCATTATGATGTCTGCAGGTGGGGTCTTTGGAAAATGATTGGATTAGGTTGCTTGAGTACAGCCCAGTGACATGATGTCATTATTAAAAGACGGACCTCAGAGAGAGTAGAAGAGTGGGCTCCCTATGTCCCTCTGCTTCCTGGCTCACCATCTGATTGTCTCTCTACCATCCTCCAGCCTTAGCTGATGCTTGAGCCAATGGGACTAGTCCATCTTGTAGCATGAAACTCCAAACTGTGAGCCAAAAAATTGCTTGCTTTCTCCCTAAGATGATTCTCTCAAGTAATTTAGTTAAAGTAAGGAAAAGTTTGCTAACACAACAATCCTGAGAAATGACCCATCAATCAGTGCCTAGCATTCTTGTAATACCTCCAAGATTACTAAAAGTTCAAGAAACCCATGAAGAAAAATCTTTCCCAATCAAGACTTGACCATTACTATTGCCAATAATTTAAACTTCTAATTTCATTAAAGTCAGTGCAGGCTTTCTTCTCGACTTTTGTAAATGATTTCTTTTACAGAGTCTATTTATCTCTAAAACTAGGCATAAAAACTTTATGATTTTTATTAAATAGCAGTTGATTCACTTGGTCGAATTAAAACTTAGGATAAATCTGGACTAATATTGTACGAAGATTGGAAATATTTAAAAATGGCCATGCTATGGACTAATGTTGTACAAAGACTGGAAATATTTTAAAATGGCCAGACTCTGAGGTTCCATGTTTATACACAAATATTTTCCAGAGGTTCTCTCAAAACAGTCAGAACTATAGAATTTTACATGGGATGAAGTATTACAGAATGGCAGAAATCCACAGATAAGCCCTTAAACTTATATCATCACAGAATTTAAACCCTTAGGGGTAGACAGACACCAATTATAATATTTTGACAGCTGGCTTTTATGTTCTTATGTTAGCATTAACCAAAAATCTTGAGCCACCTCAGTGTAGCAGCTTTAAATCAAGATGTGGTCAAGTTTCCACTATTGCTATAAACATTTCTGCTGCGCATTTATACAACACAAGGCTGTCTCAAAAGTGTTTGCACACACTTCTCATTTGTGCCTGCCTTTCACACTCAAGTTTGAGCAGGGAAGTCTGCACCGTCTTCCTTTCACCACAGAGGGAACAGAGAGGCAGGGCGGTCAAGTGACAATTCCAACATGGCGCAGCCCATGTGCCCTGCCCACTCCCCTTCCTGAGAGGTTGCAGACGCCAATCACAGAAGCCGTTACTCAGATAAAAATAAACACCAAGGAATTTATAGGCTCTCCTGATTGACAAGCCCCGTGGCAGCCAGGTTTCCAGTGGGGGCAGATGCCGGCACCACCTGCACCCTCTGTCCTACAATGTCTACCTCCAGCCCAGGTTGGCTTGTCCCATTATAATAGAACGCCCACCCAGCACCCGGATCAAAGGATGTCCTTCTCTCCACCATGGAAGAACATGTGTGAGCATCCTCCTAATGGTACCAGGGGATGTCAGAGGGCTCAGCAGCTGTTCCAACATCCACACTAGACCAGTATTTTGAAGAGCATACTCCATGCAGTGTTCATTCCGCAGGAAGCTGGACGTGGCTGACTAGTTAGGCTTTAATTATCTCTGAGGCCCCATAATAAATGCAGTGTTTCAAGTGAATTACCTAACTTACTTCCCACAACCCTACACAAGGACTCTGAAAAGTGCATGAAAAGTGTATATTATAAAAAGTGATGCATGAATTTAAATTTTTGCATACAAATAAGTGTATCTTTTACTTCCACCTTTCCATGAACATTTTAAAGCCTCCTCTTATATAAGATGAAAAAACTGAGACTTAAAAAGAACTTTTCCTAAGCCACACAGCTCTTAGGTTGGAGATCTTGGACTCCAAGCAGCCAGGCTGATCTCAGAACCCTCGAACTTAATCACTATAGCAGGTTGTTTCCCATGGAAGCAGGAGTCCTGTGGCTTCCCTCCATTTGGAAGTCCTGCATACCATACACCCTTCTTGGAAGACTCACAACATATGTGAGGATAAGAATATTGAGACCTTCTGCAGTAAAGAAGCTCATTTGACCTGCTTAACCAACATTTCCCAAACTCACATTGCTACAGAGCTCCTCTTGTCTACACTGAAGAGAACACACACAGCAGTGCATCCATTCATCTGTCTTTAGTGAGAGATTCTGTCATATGACTGCAATGAAATTCATGGCAAATAAGCTCCTTTTTCTGGGAGAACCTTTGTCTGCATATTTTAGTTTTGCACTGCCAACTTCAACCAAGGCGTAGGGTCCTGCAACTCTGCTGTCTCTGTCCTTCTTACACTTACATAGCAATTTGATTATAGTCAACAGGAGCTCTGTGTGGGACATGGTAGGGCTGGCCTCCTTGTCTGGCATTTGGCTTGTTCCTAGTACATTTGTAAGTTAGAATGTTTGGGCTTTGGACAAAATAAGGGTTAGTAAGACAAAAATAGAGTAGCACTAACACTTGTGATCCCAGCATATTAAAGAAGTATACAGGAACGCTTACCGAGTTTTCAGTAACTTAGAGAACAGTCTGTCCTTGCAGGTATTCCTGGGAAAAGAAGAGAAGGCACCACTGATAATTAGGCAGTTCTAGGCTCCCTGGCTGGTAAGGCACGCAGACTATTCCCTCTCATTCGGAACTAATTTCATTTCCGTGCTCTGTTCCTGTCACACACACCATGCTCCTGACTTGATGTCTGAGAATCTGACTCAGGCCGAGTCTGTCTTCATTTCCTCATGTTCTATGAATGTGTCTTGTCCACAATCAACCTTCAATGAGTCGTTGCCTGTCTGGGTCACTTGCTGCCCTGGTACAATTCTCAGGCAGCTTGTTTTTCAAAGCACACAGCTGGGAAGGGGTTGTTTACGTTTGAGTGCAAAGAAGTATGAAAGAATCACTCACTCCAAAGCTATTTCTGGCTGAGGGTAGGCAACAGAGGCTCCAACCTAGGAGGCATGCCTTGGGTGAGGGTGCAGAGCACAGGAAGGCGGCTCTGTCCCCTTCTAAGGGCAGCTTCACAGCCCTCTAGATGTGGTCACTTTATATTCATAGGCACTGTCTGCATTCTTCTCAGTATTGCTAAATTTGCCCATTGGCATTTCAACTACACTCTCCAGGAGGGACATTTGAATTCTTAGTGTTTTTCCATCTATGTGTGCAGAAGGAAAGTCTTAGTCTAACTTCTCATCAGTTATGTGATCACTGACCAGGAAATCTTCAGTCTCACTGTGACAAGGAGAACTGTACTAAAAGATTTGGGCTCTCCATTAGTCACTGTCTTGGGAAAGTGACCACTTGTTCTAAGGAAAAATCTTCCCTCTCATTCTTGTCAGATTGCACTGCTCAATTCAGACAAGGTACCAAGTGCTGGAAACACATGTGCATGGCTACTGCTCGTCCCCCTAACTTTTTCACAGCAGAACACAAGCCATGCTCTGCAGGCCTTCTGGGACCTCAACACTCTTCCTTTGACCACTTCAAATGCCATAAACCCAGGTTGCCAGGCCTGGAGTCAGCAAAGAGGAGTCTAGGGTTGGGGATCTCAACGTCTCTTCTCTTTCTAGACCAAGGTAGGTTTGGGATTCTAGGTGGATACTTCCTTCCACTCTGTTGCATCAACAAATCTGTTGGCCTCACAGCCATCCTAAAGACACATCAAGCATCTTTTTTGGTCTGTGCAGCCACCATCACAATCTGTGTCCATTTCTCTAAATTTCAGGCCCCTGGGACTGTGCAATGCAAGGCAGTGGCCCACCAGCCCCGGTGACTGCTCACGGCAAGTGACTCACTCCCTATGATACAACCACCCTCTTTATCACCTATTCCTCAGGACACCTGCTCTGCTCTCTGGGTGGGGTTGGAGGGTGGGGGTGGGGTGGGGTGTCAGCCTGGCTGCAGCTGAGAGCTGTATTCTTGAATCTGTCTACAGGGCATTCCTCATGAGCAGACCACCAGCATCTAGAACAATCTGGGAGCATATGTGTCAGGAGAAAACCACAGGGTCCTTGGGAATTTGAATAGGTGTTGTTCTTGCCTCTCATAGCAGAACCATGTTCAGACATGTTGGGGGCTGCCTCTGCAGCTGTGGGAGAGGAAATGGTACAGTCTCAAATCTATGCCCTGCACCTAAGTGAGCCAGGCACTATCTATTCCTTGATAGCAAACCCTTTCAAATGGCTGGATGTTAACATTTACTTGATTTCTCTACTGCTATCTAGAATTTTTCCATGTGAAGGTCAACCCTACCTGAGTTACAACCCTACCTAAGAGAACAAGTTCCAGGAGAAACAAGTCTGAGTTTGAATACTAGTTCTGCCGTGTTCGAAAAACATGATTTGGAACAAAGTTGCTCAGGCCCTGTAAGCCTCAGTTTTCTCGTCTATGAAAGGGGGATGGAAGTTAATGCTGCTCCATGAGGTTGTTGGATTTAAAGAATTAACACCTTATGAGGTAGACTGAAAACATGATCACAACTCTCCACCCCTCCCTATACCAAGTGAATTCTCTTCCTTGAATGTGGTCTGGTCCTGTGACTTTTTGGCCAACAGAATGCAGAAGAAGCATCATTCCAGTTCTGAGCTGGATCTCAAGAGACTGCACATTCTTTTACCTTTCTTCTTGGAACCTTGTTGCCACACTGTGAATATAATGATGCTAGTTTTATGCATGATGAGAGGCAAGTGGCCGGGTATCTCTATGGCCCCGGCCATCAGGTGGCCAACTGTCAGACATCTGAGCAAAGCCCTCTTAGACCAGCCAGCCTCAGCCAACACACCAGCTGACTTCAGATGCATAAACAAGCCCTGCCAAAATCAGCCGGGCCATGCCCAACTCACTCAGATACTTGTGAGAAATACTAAATAACCCTTAGTTTAAGCTGTTATAACAAAATACCATACAGTGGGTGGTTTACACAATTCACATTCATTTCTCCCAGGTATGAAGGCTAGAAAGTCCAAGATCAAGGTGACCACAGATTTAGTCCTTGGTGAGGGCACACTTTTTTTTTTTTTTTTTTGACAGATAGAGTTAGACAGTGAGAGAGAGAGAGAGAGAGACAGAGAGAAAGGTCTTCCTTCTGTTGGTTCACCCCCCAAATGGCCACTACGGCTGGAGCTACACCAATCCGAAGCCAGGAGCCAGGTGCTTCCTCCCGGTCTCCCACGTGGGTGCAAGCGCCCAAGAACTTGGACCATCCTCCACTGCATTCTCGGGCCATAGCAGAGAGCTGAACTGGAAGAGGAGCAGCCGGGACTAGAACCCGGCACCCATATGGGATGCCAGCGCCGCAGGCAGAGAATTAGCCAAGTGGGCCATGGTGCCGGCCCCAAGGGCACACTTTCTAGCTTGTGGATGGCTTCCTTCTTGTTGCATCCTCGCATGGCAGAGTGGGGGATGTGGCCACTTCCTTTTCTTAAATAGTCACTAACCCCGTCATGGAAGCTACCCCTTCATGACCTCATCCAAACATAGTCACCTCCCAAAGGCCCCACCTCCTGATATCATCACACTGGGGGTTAAGGCTTCAACACACAAATTTGGGGGTAGACAAAAATATTCAGTCTGTAAGGGGCCACTAAGTTTTATAGCAGTTTGTTGACTGACAAACACATCCTGATATTACAGGCTTCAACCAACATATAGTAAATGCTCAATAAATATTAACAATCAATATCTATCTTACATATGATGCTTCTTCTCCTGCATTCTGTTGGCCAAAAAGTCACAGGACCAGACCACATTCAAGGAAGAGAATTCACTTGGTATAGGGAGGGGTGGAGAGTTGTGATCATGTTTTCAGTCTACCTCATAAGATATTTACAGGTAGATATTTACAGGTAGATTTACAGGTAGATTATTGGGAGAGGCATTGTAGCACAATGGGTTAAGGTGCCACGTGGGACACCCACATCCCATATCAGAATGCCTGGGATCAATCCTGGTTACTCCACACACCTGATCCAACTCCATTCTACTGCTCCTGGGAAGCAGCTTTGATGGCCTAAGTACTTGAATTCCTGACACCCAAGTGGAAGACCCAGATGGGCCATTTCTGGCTGTTGCAGCCATCTGAGGTGTGAACCAGTGGATAGAAAAATCAATCTCTCTCTCTCCCTCCCTCCCTCTCTCTCTTTCTCTCTCTCTCTGTGCTAGTGTATGTGTGTGTGTGTGGGTGGGTGGGTGGGTGGCTCTGCCTTTCAAATAAATAAATCTTTAAGAACTAAACTAAAATAAAGATAGATTATCATTGAACATACAAGTCTGAAATCTGTAAAAGTAGAGTGGTTTTCTCTTCCCATGACTTACAGCTATGGGAAGAAAATGACCTTACTTTTAAAATAGGCAGTTCAGCAAATGTTTTCAATCCACTGTGAGTGGTTTCAACTGCGGCAGGTGTCTTCAGCCACCTCCATGCTTCTGGAAGAGCAGTGGTTGAACATGGACACATGGGGCAGGGGGCAGGTGGGAGGGGGCAAACCATAGCAAATAGTCCCATTGTTTCTCATTGTGCAAGAAGATCCTTTCCTCCCTCCCTCCCTCCAACTCCGCCTCTCAAATGAAAAAAGATAGAAAAAGAAATTGCAAAGAAGCTAAATAAAAGCAGAGAAAGAGGGGGTGAAACACAAGAAAACATCAGGGGCTGAAAAATTGCTTTTGTAGATGGAAACACCAGCTCCTTAGCTCAGCCCAGATGATTGATTTGGGACAGCTTACTTTCAAGTACACATTCATAGTAAGGGCTCATAAAACCCTGCACACTCCTGGAATTCTGCAGCCAGCAGGCTCCTGTGATTCTGCCCAAGCAGAGGATGCGCGTGATACCTCTTTTCTTCTTCTAGGTAGGTTCACTCCATATCTGCTGTTAGTATTCCTTGGTTCTCTAAGAATATATATGACTATGTTCTCTTTTTTCAGTTTGATGTTACACAACAGCTCAAATTAATGGCGCCTGATACATTTGGGCAGTAAATCAAGTTCACAGGGTCCTATATCATCCCCAAACAGAAAGAAAAATGCATGCCATGGTGTTCTCATGCAAATAAGCACTAAGAAATGAATGCTAGCAGGCCTCTCAACTCAGGGTAAAGAGTGGACATGACCACACACTGCAGTAGTGTGGCAGAAAATGTAGATCATCAGCAGAATATCCAGTCTCTTTTTCCTTTTCTTTTTTAACGACATAATTCCACTTTTGTCTGGAGCAGCCACACATCCCATTAAAAATGCTCGCCTTACCCAGACTCCTTTACAACCAGGGGTAGTCTTGCTCACAGCACACCTATTTGGTAAAACCACTGACCTTGGCATATAAAATCAAATCCAACTCAAAGTGACATAGAAAATGTGGCCAATTCTAGTTATGGACACACCTAAACCTATATCATCGGGGTATTGTTGTATATTGTATAGAGAAAGCCACACAAGCAGATGCTAAAATACTGTGTAAAGCATTTTCCAATGTGCTGCACAAACAATGGTACACGTCTAGAGGCCGAGAAGGAACTAATTCATGTATATGCTACTTATAGGTGTGTGTATATATACGT